TTCACTTAGCTCATCTATTTGTTTTCTCTTTACACCAAATATGAATGAAATCATATGTTGTTTATCTCTTTCTTTTTGGTTTATGTAATTAAGCACAATTCCATTTAGTTCTATCCATGTTGATGCAGTTAGCAGAATTTCTTCTGGTTTCATAACTAAATAGTATCTGTGTGTGTGTGTGTGTGTGTGTGTGTGTGACCTTTATTCATTGGTCAATCAATAAACTTAGGTTGTTTCCAGCCCTTGGCTATTGTTTTTAGTGTGGCAATAACACTCGGGTGCATATATCATTTCGAATTTGTGTTTTATATTTTTCAGGTAAATACTCAGAAGCTGAGTATTCAGGTAAATACTAGGAAGCTGAAAATATGGAATTACTATTTTAAATGTTTTGAGGAATCTCCATATTGCTTTCCATAATGACTGGACAAATTTACATTCCCACCAAGAATATATGAGAGTTCCCCCTCACTACATCTCCTCCAACACTTGTTTTTATTTGTTTTTTGGACAATAGCTACTCGCACAGTTGCCAGATAATATCTTCCTTGATATCAACCTTAGGGATATGTTTGGGTACTTGGTAAGGGAATGGAGAGGGAAGCAAAAACAAAGAAATGGGACTATATCAAAATAAAAAAAACTGCATAGTGGAAGAAACACATTAAAACGAAGACTTCCTACTGAATGAGAGGAGTTAATATCCAAAATATACAGAGGGGTTAATATTCAAAATATACAGAGAACTCATAAAACTCAACAATAAAACATTAAAATATTTGCAGAGGATTTAAATAGGCATTTCTCCAAAGAAGACATACAGATGGCCAACAGACACTTGAAAAGATGTTCATCATTTCTTATTATTAGAGAAATGCAAATCAAAACTCCTGTGTTTTTAAAGAGAATCAAGAAGAGAGAAATCTAATTTCTGTGAAAGATCTCTTCAATTCAAAAGATAAATGAGGTGACAGGGAAAAAAAGGGAAGGGAAGGAAAAACTTTGCATGACACACCACACACACACAAACACACACACACACACACACACACACACACACTGGGTCTTGCAGTCTGAAGTTCACTTACTTGCAACCTAATTTTCAGAGATTATTAAGTAGTAGTATAAGGGAACCTTGTCGATTTTAAAGACATAACCTCCTTACTCTAAGCCACCAGGTAGTCATGCTTATGAAATGTCATATGTGTCTAACATTGGAGATGATAGATACCTGTTCTTTGGCTGGGGAGATGAGGAGAAATTAGGGGCCAGGGATAGTCTCACAGTTTAGGCAATCTTCCCTGGATACACGGAGGTGCTATGACAATTACATTAGCAGATATGTTTGAGAGTTGGGTTAATTTCCTATCTACCCATAAATCAAGAGATTTCCAATTACAGGTGTTAGCCAGCAATCTGGGCTTTTCTTCTTGATTCTTGAATTGATGAATAATTTAGCCTTCATTAACAAAACAAAATAACCTTTAAAAGTTAAACTAGTACAATCTTTTATCTGTGGGAAATGGAAGTAAATGCAGTTGACTTTTTGAGAGTTTTATGAAGTCTGTCATCTTTTTCTAAGGCGTTCTTCCAACTTTTAGTTGCTGAACTTTGAACATCGTATTTTACAGTCCTCTTGTCAAACCAGCTTTCTTGACTCCAAACTCATAAAACAGAAGACATTCTGTACTCCTGGTTTTATGAGAGCTTTTTGTAACAGGTGTCCTATGTACTTATCTTTGATATTCTAAACCTGATTACAGATACATAAAATTTAATAAATAAGATACAACCATTTTCTTACTTCCAAAACAACACTTTATAATTGTGTTTTCATTAATAGTTAATGCCATGGGTTAAAACTTCCTGCTATTTTGAAGTTTGGCAGGATGTTAATAATGGCTATTTTAGAGGAAAATGGGATCAATTAAAACTTCTAATTTGAAGACCCTGTAGTGTGTCCTGTGGCATGAACAGAAAAGAATAAATAAGCTTGTCCCCTTCCCTCCTGGGGCTTGAATTACTTTGGGGGAAATGAGACATTTATACAAGTAACAAAGGTAAAAAGCAGCACATAAAAAGCACAATACAAAGGACAAAGATGACTATAGCTGTAGGATTTTTAAAAGACTTTATGATGAAGGCTTTAGAGGACATCAGAAAGTAAATGATATTTGAATGGGGCCTTGAAGAACAGCGAGGCTTTTTGCAGCTGAGGGGACAGGGAGTAGAAGAAAAGATATAATAAAGGCACATAAAAAGAGGGAGAGGAAAGATGGACTTGGGGCACAGAGTGATTGCAACAGAAAACTCAAGTAAGGAAGAAAAGGAACATAAACCTAGGAGTGATTTAATTAAGCAGAGAGAATTCAAGACCAAGGAGAAAAAATATTCAATCCATTCATATGAATTATGGAGTTAGAAGGAGAGCTGCTTTGAGGCAGAAAAATAATTCCAATTTACTGTTAAACTTCATGTGATAGTAGAGCAACCAAATAACATGGAAACAAAAGATGAAATTATGTATTCTCAAAATCTGGGCCCAACCACTTTTGCCTTTGTCTTATTTTGATGTCTAATTCCTGCATTAAGATTGTGCTATTTGAGGGCCCCCCCTTGGTGGGGCAAGGGGTTAAGAAGCAGCACTATGAAGCTTTCTGGTATGAGTTCAATTCCTGGCAAGGGAGCTAACCCACATGGCACAGCAGACCTCTCCTGTCTCTCCCACTGCTCCCCTCAGCAGTGTATTTCAGTCAGTCTGCCTGATGCGTTCCCCAGTCTGTCTCTGGTGAATCCTCTCACCCTCCCCCCATCTCTGGCCTGCACCCCAGCTCTTGTATGCATAAATAAATAAATCTTTAAAAAAAAAAAAAGATTGTGCTATTTGAATTATCTGGCACATGCAAAGAAGTAGGATCCTTGAATTTGGAAGTGGGAAGGAGCCTTAGAAATCATGTCAATGGTTAAGCGATTAGCATGAGTTTGCAGAGCTAGTAGTGGTAGAGGTAATATAAAAACAGCCATCCACTAGTTTCTCAACCATTGCTTTATCCATACAACCTGGTTATCCTTTCCAAAAGATGCTTATATATACACGTACACATATAAATTTTCTGGCATACATATTAAAATCCATTATTTCCCCACATTTGAATGTCCTCATCTCTTGTTTTCCATTTCCAAATCACCATACTCCTTCATTTCACACATAACATGTCTCATCCTAAATATTTTTAGAATTTATATGACCATATAAAAATATCTGTATACACACACGTAGTGTTTTAGGTTACTGATTTATAAAAACGAAAACATTCTTTTCTGTACCTTGCTTTTCTCATTTAATTTTACTTTGGGGAAACACCTCTCAAGTGAAAAGCTTAGACTAATCAATTGCTCCTTTCAATCGTTGAATAATGCTCTTCAATATGTATGTCATAATTTATTCTAGATTGAGCACGACTCAAACTATTCATGAAAATAGATTGTTTCCTGTTGTTCACCTCACAAATACTACTTCAATAAACATTCCTGTACCTATATCTATATATGCTGTTATTTTATTTCTATTGATAGAGTTGGGATCAACAGAGCAAGGATTTATATATTTTTCATTCTAAAAACTAAATTGCTTTGTACCTACAATTCACAAAAATACTTCCTTGCATTAGGTCACCCCAGTCCATGATGTTATAACTCTCTTTTAATTTTTTTTTTCCAATTCAATAGGAGTAAAGTAAAATCTCAGTTACTTTATTTATATTTCTTTAACTATAAAATAATTTGATCATATTTCAAAAACTCACTCACTGTTTGCATTAAATATCTTATAAATTAAATTTTGATGTACTTTATCCATTTTGCAAAAAAACTATTTTATCTCCTTGTAAACTTTCAAGCTCTATCAATATTAAAGAAACTTTGTATGTTCTTTAGGGTTGCAAACATTTTTTGGTTCAAATCTATTGCATTTGTTTATGTTCTTTTGCCAAGCAAGAGTTTTCATTTTTATTCCATCATCTCTGATTATGTTTTCTCTTACAGTTCTTGTATTTTCTGCCTCACCAAAAGAAGCCTAAACTCCCTGCCCCTAGACTATATGGTTCCTACATTTCTTTAGCGGGATTTTTTTTTATTTAATAAATTATTTTTTCTACATTTTTAACTTTTGTCCATCTAAATTCATCTAGGGTTTGTTTGGGAACTGGTGAAAGAAAAAGACCTAGTTTTCTTCCTGTTGAATAAAGTTTGACAGTCTCATATTAAATAATCTATGTTTGAACCACTAAACTGCCATGTCTTTTTCTTGTTATTTATTAAATCCTCATTTATTTGTGTGTCTATTTCTAGGTATTGTATTTTACATATCTGTTTAGGCCTATTTCAATATTTATTTATTTGATTACAGTAGCTTTAGGGATTTTTTTTTTTTTTTTGATCTTTGGTAAATCAGACTGCACAAATAACTGGAGTATCACAAATGCTGAGGCAAATACATTAAAAACCTCTTTGCTAGGGCCTCCCCTGGTGGTGCAGTGGTTGAGTGCTGGGCTGCGAAGCTGCCCGCAGCCTCTGCAGCACCAGTTTGATCCCTGGCCACCAGGAAGGGTCCCACATGGCACGACAGACTTCTGCTGTGCCCGCTGCTCCCTTCAGCAGTGTATTGTTCTGTTCCCCACTCTGGCTCCTGTGAATTCTCTCACCCTCCTGAGTTTCTGACTGTACCCAGTGCTTGTATAAATAAATAAATCTTAAAAAAAAAAAAAAACCTATTTGCTAGATGTGGTGGGATGCAAGCAGCAGCTAATATATCTAAATAATACTTGTACTAGTAAGATTTTTTTCTAAAATCTTTCTTCACAAGATATGATTTTATATCAATAGCTATAGGCAAGAAAGTCTTAATATGCTGCTAATATCTTAGACAAGTGACAATGTGGTATATTTTTCAATCCCTCCATGCTGTGTCATATTAATGGTGCTGTTGCCTTGATTTGCAGATTGATCCTTCAAAGGAATCAGCCCTGACTGTGTCTACGCTCTAAGATAAGACTCCATCCCAGAGGGAGCACGACTCAGGGGAGAGTTCAGAGGTTTTCCTCAAGAGAAATTCCATGGGGACTGTACCTGATCCTCTGAGATCAGCTACAACTTTCCTGATTGAAGCTTCTGGAAAAGAAGAGGACCTAGGAGAGGAGAAGTCAGCTTCACCGCAACCTGGACCAGCCCTCCTGTGTAAAAACACCAATGGCTTTTCCCACTCTTTTGCACAAAAAGACCTTAGTCCCAGAGCAGCTGACAAGACCCTGATGCAGGTCTGTGAGCATGAGACCACTCAGCTAGACATGTCCTCTCCTGGCATCTTCAATGAGGTGGAGAAAGCATCTCCCACACTCAACTCTCCCTGCAATACTCAATTAACAGAAAACAGTGGACCCACAGCACCAACCCCGTGCTCTGCAGCAGGAAGGGATCTTACACAAGCAGCATTTACAATGCCAGCCAACCAACACATCCACCAGGCCAGTCCGGGGGACCAGCCCAATGCCAGTCCTTTAGCAGGACCTGAAGCCACGCTGGTAAGTTCACAGAGAACCTCAGATGGAGATCAGTCTGAGAAATCAAGCTGTCCTGCAGGAGGCATCAAGAATAGCAGCAATGACGGAGTGCTCTGTGAGTTTTCTTCTCAAGAAACTGTCCAAGAAATGGTGCAGACTGTTAATATAGCAGCCAAGGAGTCTGATTGTGGTGATGCCTCCTCTCCCATAGGCAAACCTGAAGGGGAAAGGCAGCAAGCCATCTGTGACTCACAGACAAAGCGCTGTGAATCCCCAGCAAAAGAAGATGAATGTTCAGGGAACAAGCAGCTCTCTGCCACTGCCTCAGATACCCAGATCATGACGCCTCAGCCACCCCACCTCCCTAGCAAAAATTGCATGTTTCCTTCAGATCCCGACAAGGTGCTGCTGCCAGCACAGCAGCAGGTGTCAAAGTTCAAAGAAGCAAGTACAATGACCAACCAAGTTGAAAGTGAGCCCCAGGACATGCCCGGCAGGGCTCGGCAAGATGCTGAAGTGCAGGCCGTGGCAAGTGTCGAGAGCAGGAGTGTCTCCACCAGCCCCAGCATCCTTGCTGCTTTCTTAAAGAAAATCCCTGCTGCTGGGCATTTAGAACAACAAGAACAGCTGCATGTCATTTGCCACGGCAGCAGAAGCGGGGTTCACTTGTTGGAGCTGTCAGACAACACGCAGGCCCTCCAGGAGCCAGGTCAGTATCCTGGCATCATGCCAGAGGCCCAGGCCCAAGCAGCTGCAGCTGTTTCCTCAGCTTTTCAAGGGGAAGGTAAATCAGTGAGCCTACCAGCTGAGGTCCTTAAAACTTCATCAGTCAAGATGGCATCCACTAATACTCAGGATGCATGTAAAGAGAATGGGAGGTCAGCAGGAATGGCTCCCGCAAGGGAAGAGCCCACCTCTAGACAGCTCTACAGTGTGAATTCTGTCTCCCTGGAAGCTGGCCCTGTTGACCAGATTTCTATCAGTGCAGACAGTCGAGCTGAAACGAGTAATGACTTAGGGAAATTTGAAACCAAGTCATCTGAGTTTGCAGTGAAAACCAAAAATGGCCTCAAAACAGATCCAGATTGCAAACTCCCTGACTCTTGTGGCCCTGCCAGCAAAGCTGACCAGTCTGAGCGCTTAGAGACCACACTCAAAGAAGAGGCAATGGAGAAGAAACCTGCGTCTCCTCAGCTAGTGAAAGAGCAAGAACCCTGTGGCACTGATAGTCCCCATATCAGTGCAAGTGGGGAGGCCAAACCCCTCCTGCTCAATCCTAACTCTCAGGAAAGCAGGGGCACCGGATCAACTGCACCCTCCCCAGTTAGAAAGAACCAGGAGGGCGCTGTAGAAGAAAACAGACAGACCAAGACAGCCGCCAGCCTGAACCTGCCGTCTGACTCCATGGGTGACTCCAGCCCGGGTTCTGGCAAGAGGACCCCTTCGCGCTCAGTCAAAGCCAGCCCGCGCCGGGCCAGCCGTGTCAGCGAGTTCCTCAAGGAGCAAAAGCTAAACGTGACAGCAGCTGCGGCTCAGGTGGGACTTACTCCAGGAGAGAAGAAAAAGCAAATGGGCTCCGACTCCAAGCTGCATTTGAAACAGTCCAAGCGTGTCAGGGACGTCAAGTGGGACGAGCAGGGCATGACCTGGGAAGTGTACGGTGCATCGCTGGACGCAGAGTCCTTGGGTATCGCCATCCAGAACCATTTACAAAGACAAATCAGGGAACATGAGAAATTAATCAAAGCTCAAAATGGCCAGACCCGAAGATCCATTTCTTCGGATACTTCATCAAATAAAAAGCTCAAAGGAAGGCAGCACAGTGTTTTCCAGTCCATGCTGCAGAACTTTCGGCGCCCCAACTGCTGTGTTCGACCTGCCCCTTCTTCCGTGTTAGATTGAAGGGAGCTCCTGTATATATTTGATTAGTAAGTGCCCGTCTATGTCAAAGTGTAATTAGATTTTTCTGAGACATGAGGAAGAGAAAACAAGTAATAACTCTAGAAACGTCTATTGAGAATTGTGGGGTCCTTCGGGGGCTCCATAAATAAAAATATTTCAATTCAGGAAAACACAGAAAAGAAGTAAACTTTACTAAAAGTTTCTGACCTTAATTAAGAGGGATAATATTCCCTGAGTTTTTTTTTTTTAATATGATATTGCTTATAAAACTAGCATTATCATTTTACATGTTATTTTGTATCACTGCCTCAATTTATCAACTAAGGTATTCCCATTAAAATCTCTGCTTTATATTTATTACAAATAGCAAAAACACTGTTAGCAAAAACACTTATGATTTCTAGTCCTATTGCAATAAGAATGCTGTTACCACAGAAAACTCAAATAGCTGATAAGAACTATAATGTAAAAATGGAAACTAATTGAACTTGTTCCTAGACCAGGTGATATTAAATAAAAGCATTTAAATGCATAAAACACTAAATAGGAATTAATGTTTCTAAACACCTACATATAACCCTTTCTTATAAGCCCCGTTATACCTGTTAATAAATGTAAGAAAGTTAAATTAGAAAACTTAGCTAAGCTTTTGAGTATACTGCCCACAGAAAATATGAATTTATGTATACACAGATATTCTTGCACTGAATGCAAGGTACAGTTCTGTGATTCTGACTAGATTAAATTCATATTCTCTTACCCTAGAGGAAGTACATGCTGCTGAATCCTTAAAAAGTAATCAAATTATTGATATTACTAAATTCTGTGTTGTACATGTGTTCTCCCAAAACAGTCTACTGAGAATATTACATGTCTGGTAAGGAATTATAAATAGCCAATTCCAAACACTCTTATTTCTAAGTTGAAAAAAAGAAAGCCTCATGAGTAACAAAAGCAGTATGTTTAATTTGGACTCCTGTAAATAGGATGCAGTTTGTGTTTTTCTTTTGATTTGGTTCACTAGCTCCTAATAGAAAATATAGCCAGCACCAAATAGAATACAAGCTTCCTTATAGATTTTGTACATAAAGTTATCTAATTGCTTCTATTTATAATCTATAGTAAAAGCATAGCCTCTGCGAATATATTGATTTTAAGAGATACCATCATTTCTTATCCTTTAAACCCAATAAAAGAACAGTTTGAGCTGTGGGTAGACAATGGCCGCTGAGAACATAGATACCTGTTGGAGTTCAGCCCTCATCTGTCTCCACAAGAGGAGTCTGTCCTTGTTACCCACGAGTGTCTTTCAGGGTACTGGGCTGGAATGACCAGTATGAATGTGGGAAGACTCCCCTTCCTGGATTCTTTGTAGGAAGGGGATTCTTTGTAGGAAGAGTGCTGGTCTCTGCCTAGCATTTAGGAAATTGTACTATTAGATGTGGGAGGGTTACTGATTCATTCTCTGAACTCACTTCCCTTGCTGAGCCAGTAAATAGTGGCTTGCCATGTAGTCTCTCTCCAAAAATGCATAAATACCACTTAAGCAGTACATTCACATTTTCTGCTTTGATTTTTTTTTCATTTTAATTCTCTTTTGCAGATTTTGAACATATGTGGGAAAGATCTGAACTTTAATACCATAAGCTACTTGGGGGCACAACCTAAATTAGTAAATAGCCATTGATTTATTTCAAAATTAAGAGAATTATTGGACTATATGTGAAACCCTTATAAATGGGCCATGGTCTACTTTATAGAGCCAGAGTTGCTAACTATAGTCATACACTTGGAGCTTAGAATGAATTTTTTAATAAGGCACATTTTTCAGTTTCTTACCTACTGACCTCTCTTAAGACTATTATAAAATAGAAATGATCAAATTAGCAATAAGTTACTATTAATGATTAGGGATTTGATCTAAAACCTGGCCTTCAGTATCATTTGTAGTGGCAGTGATGTCACTTCTGTGGAAGATACCTTTGCCAAAATGTAATCTCTTTCCTCTCCCTACTCACACATTGGCATACATGTTGTGTATATTACAAAGAACACCCTGTGTACACAGTAGCAGCTGTCAACAGTACCCACTCCAGATGGGTGGGCCCCAGGTAATCCCTTGCCATGAGGTGGCTAGAACAGGTTGTCCCCGCATAAAATAGGAAAAAAGGAAGAATTCAGCATGTGGCAATAATATTTATTTTCATTAGTTTGGAGTAAATCCATGATTTATAAATAGTTATATGAAACAGAGACCTAAGATCATTGTAGGCATTTATCACACATCAAATAAATTAATAAAGGTAATTAAGTTAAATTCAATAAATTAAAACTAAATTCAATATTATAGTTGTGCAATTTGAGAAAACTATTATAAAACTTGATATTGATGTAGCAAACTTCAAATGATTTTCCTTGATGCTGGAACTAATCTTTATTCTTAATCTTAAAGTCTTTTATTTTTCATCTTTTCTTCCAGCACACTCTAGAGGTTGTCACAAAAGCTTTCTCATTTTTTGTTTATTGAAACTTACAGAATGCACAGCTTTTTAAAGCAGTACCACCAATAGATATTGAATGAATAAATAAGTTTGGGAGCCTTTTCAAGGGAGCAGTGTTTTTGTATTTGGATGCCCTAAGTCCTCTCACAACAAAACCTTTATTTGACATGCTTCCATCACTGTGATCTATGATACACACAGACATTCATTCAGTACATTATTTGTTAACTGCTTAGGCTCATTCAAAAATGAAGTTGCACAACATTTTTCCTGGCAGACTCTTCAAACTAATTCAACTGTTCCTTACCTTGCCATCAAGTTATACTTGAGGTGAAAGTTGTTTTTTCCCTTGGTGTCTTTTAGGTTTGTTTCTGGTTCTTTTTAATGCATTTTAGTTGTTGAAATATTTTATCAAGTAAATAAATATGTTTCTGAAACCAGTAGTATAAGAGATGAGTTAGATTCATAATGTTTACTAGATAATGACACATTTAAAATGTTAACATGCTATAAGGTGAATGTTGGAATTTTTAATTTGATTATTGGTTTTGGTTTTATGACCATAAGAAAAATGTCATTGCTTCGGCTGTCATGTTTATCTTCTGTGCTTTTCTCAATATGTCTTTCTGGATTGTTGGCTCCGATACCACAGACCAACTACTCTACACACAGTAAAATCTTTTTTATATAGATTTTTTTTATTTATTTATGCATGCAAGAACTGGGGTACAGGCCAGAGTTGCAGGGGAGGTGAGAGGATTCACCAGAGAGAATGGGGAGCAGAAAAGGCAGATCTACTGAGATACACTGCTGAGGGGAGCAGTGGGCACCACAGGAGAGGTCTACTGCGCCACCAGGGAAGCCCCCCCACATAGTAAAATCTTAATTAACCTTTGTGTCTTAGATCAGTGACAGAAGATGAACATTTTGTTAGGTGAAAGTTACCCAGAAATATATTTGTTGACATCATTTTAAATGTCATTATAAATGAGATTTTTGTAAACTACATCAGTATGCTTCCCTACTTTGATAAGTTCATCTATATTGAATATAACTTGATTTTTGATGATTCTTGATTTGATATTCATTATCTTGAATATTCATTATTTTGAATACCAGTGTTCTATGTTATAGGTTAAATATCAAAATTGAAATAAAGTAGACGCAGAAGAGGAAAATAGTTGCATCCCAGAATGTTGAGGTTTTATTGTTTCTAGCTTATTCCAAAGTTATTTCCCTCATTTCTGTGAGTTCCATTAATTCTGAGAATATCTGTATATACTACATCAAGAATAGAACATGTTGTGACTTTAAAATATGTTTACAGAGGATATATGAGTATATACGAGTATGCTATTAATATAAATTGTTGACCTTTCTGTATCCACTCTGTTACTGTTTTGCAACCAAAATGTGAGAAATTGTCTTCTCTTCCTCCTACATATTGTGAAAGTGTTAACAAATGTGTCTACTTGTAGTACCGTATAATTCACCAAATCTCTTGTGTACTTTTTAAAATCAGTATACAGGAAAACAGTACATTAGGAAAAGGTTTGCATATGTGTACATGTGTTTTTACTAAAAATTGGGCACTTGTAACCTGCGTAGGCCTCTACCTGCCTGATTTCTGTCTATTGATAAAATGCTGCCATGGGGATGACACTGTTTACTCCCTCCTGCTCCGTCCTAAGTAGTGTTTGCGAAATGAGGCCTGTGAATTTCCCTCTGTGATAATAATGCAGATCTTGGATAAATGAGCTGATAATCTTGTCCCCACCCTTGATTTGTCCGCAAAGTGACTCAGAAGGCTTGTCCACATTTGCTTCAGTGTTCGCTACTTTATACTCCAACCTGAGCATTTTGTTTTCTGTTAGAGGTGTTATTTGATGTCATGTGTGACTCTTTTGGTTGCATCTTTCCAACTAGGAGTTGGCTGCTGCCACCTAGCAAATAACAGGTGATAATGCCAAATCTCCTGTCTATCCTGTAACTATATCCTTCATAATGAGATCCTGCAACTGGCTAAGCAATTATGTCATCTGTGCAGACACATGAGATTAAAGATGTCAACATTGTAGACATTTTGGTAAAAGGGGAAAACATATTCCTGTAAATACTGAAACCAGTTTCTATGAACTTTACTGGAAACAAAAACTTTCCTCGGCAACAGAAATCAAATAAGCATAATTTGCAAAGACTAATGACATAAATGAGGATGGAGAAGATGGAAAGATTCTGTCTCAGAAGTAATCAATGGCATCTGCAGAGGTCATGAAAGCTACTTTTAACTGTGAACTCTCACCAGCCAAATGATTCACTTGCCACAATCAAATAACCTCTCTCACGGTAAATCCAGTGCATCTGTAAATATGTGTAGATAGACATAAGAAACAATCCTGAAAAGTTGCTGTTGGCTGTTAGGTATATCAACGTGATGATAATTATGAAGGACACTTAAATAACCATTTGGTGAAATAACTGTAGAGGCCAGAATAGTGCAACAAAATGTTATTTACAAGTTTGGTGTTTTGTTTTGTTTTTTTAAGAACATATATCTCAAACCTAATCATGTGACTAAAGACTGTTGAATATGAAATTAAAGCCAAGCAATAAAGTGCCAAAAAGAGGCAGTTATACCAGCAAGTACATCTATTCTAGGCACGCCATTACATAATTATGGTTTGCTCCCTGAAGACTGACTGTAACCCACAGGATAAAATAAGCAAAGACATAATTCCTGCTTTATTGCTGTAAAAACTTGTAAGGAGCAGCATAAAAAGGTACAACATTAGCAAGCCTTAGTAAAGTATGGTTAACATCTTGGTTTTAATGCTAGCCAATACAGAAAAGGAGTCACCAAAAGTTTTGTTTAAAACTCAAGACTATTCCATCTGGAAACTTTGTTGGAATGGAGGGGTTAACATATGGTGATTATTCTTCCTGTACAGTAGCATGTAGAAAAGCAATTCAATTAACTCTGCCTGGAGGATTACCAGTCTTAGCTATGAAAATGGGTTCCCAAGTGTAAAATAACTAAAACAAGAGTACTTGTACCAAAAGGGCCTCAAATAATGCCTTATAGAAAATAATGTTTCAGATGAGCATTTCTACATACTGACTCCTCATCAAGTATCTTTATGAGTTAGAACTCAAAATTGGCTGTAAAACAGAAGGAATAAAAATCACATATTGCACACTTCAGAAAAAGATACTGATGATCAACCAGCATGGTGATAATTATGATGAGATTCCCTAGTGGTTTAAGAGTGTTAAGAGAATTAAATGGGATAGAAATGCTAACTTTTCTTGATTTTTAACATGTGGAGATGTCGTCCACTTATTTCCAGGGTGAAAATGATAGCTTGCTTTTTGTCATTGCTGCTAGTATTACTCTTTGTTACTTTAAAAATTAAATTGTCAATTCTTTAAGACTGCTAAGCAATTAAACCTTTTTTTCTGATTTGTATCATTGTTTTTTTTTAATATTTTATAAAGGCAATCTATAGAGCAAACTATTGAATGAGTAGAAGGGGATTGCCCATGTTTATTATTATCTCAGTGACTTTAGTGTACATTTCTTAACATTTATTTTAGACCACATCTTTAATTAAATTATGTTTCATTAATGTTCTCCATCATGTCTTAAACTGATGGTAAATCAGGAGATTGCAGTATTATAGTCATACTTCTCAATCCCTAGAGGAGAGGAGAGGCTAATTTTTGTTTTGAAGGTATCTGAGATACCTTCTATTGAGGTTGAAAAAGGTCAATGTGACCCAAAAACTCAAGTGAGAAATACAAGTAGCAAGACTAACCTTTTTAATGTATTTATCTCTGTTCTACTAGTGTGTGAACAATATATTATGCATAATATAGCTGGCCGTGTATGTCACTACATTCTGTAAGTGTGTAGAGTCTGTAAGTGGTTGGGTCTTTATTTTTATGTGTAGAAAAATAATAACATGCTGTTTCCCATTTTAAGGTCAGATTCTGTCATCAGGTAGGCGCATGTATGAAAATGAATAAGCCAACGAGTGTGTATGTATATTCAGTAACAAAATTTGTCCTCTTGTTTTTGAAGGTCAGAAAGGGCTGTTTTTGTTTTTTTTTTAATCATCTCTGAGAGTAGATAACATAAATAATTATCACAAAGGCTGAATATAGTAATAAGTACACTGGCATATTAACTAATATGCCAGACCTAATTAACCACACCATTAGTCACAGGTAAGGTCTGTTCTTTGACCACCGGGATGATTTACATTCCTCACACATCCTCTCTGTGTTAAGTGTGACTAGGTTGTACATACTATGGGTGTGATTGTGTACATACCTTGTATGAATTATTTAAATCCTCAAAACAAAAAGGCAGGAAGGAGAAACAGTTGTTCAAAAGCCTCAGAAGGGCTAATTAATGTGTATTTCCATTTTCTACACATAAAAATGTATACATATCATAAGTGTAAATAGCTAGCCCATATATATATTTATGCACATAGATGCACAAATATATATATATATGCACACAAATGCATTTTATTCATGCAGGTATATTCATATATATCAAATTAAAGCTAGTTCAAAACTATCTTTCATTGACTTTTCTGTTTTAAATATATTAATATTGGATCTGATGCTCCCCTATTGAGTGTTACTCCCTCCCTAGTAGCAGATGTAGTAGTGCTTAGGAAAGCCGAGCTCCATTGTGCCATGGAAATTTTTGGAAGCACAGACTGGTACCCAAGCAGGTTTAATGCTGTTCTTTAAGCACCTATTTTTTTTTAACCTGGAAGTGGTAAACACTGGGGACTGCAATTTATGTTTTATAAACTCCATTTGTGCATGTATTAATGTATTTATTTGCACAGACTGGTAAAACCCTGCAGTTATTTAGAGAGATATCCCTAGATTTCAAAAGGGTATAATCACAAAGTGGAAAATGAATGCAAACATTCTTCTTTTGAGAGCAACAAAACAATGTTTACCAACACCAAAGAGAAGTCAAGCAGAACATTTATTAAAAAATTTACAGACTAAAAAAAAAATATTATAGACTATATTGGTAGAGTAATTGGACATGAGCACTTGGGGGTTCATTATGATAAACTCAAATAAGAAATTACTATTATTGATAGCAGGTAATGCTGCCTGATCTCTAAAATATGATTAGATTTATTAATCAGCGAATGTCAGTGCAGCACAAATTTTGTTAACGTTTCACAATTCCAATTAGTGAATTGCCATTTGAGTTTTTCTTCTTATTCTAAAAGTAAATACTATAGTAGAGAGTAAAACAGATCTGGTTCTTAAATTTAGTCTGATTTGACCCTTATTCCACAACAGCAAAAATTATGTTGACTGGTTAAAAGGTTGAAGATTTGAATAGAAATACCAGATTTGCCCATTAATAGAGAATTCTGTTTGGTAAAATGCAAATATAACTACTCCCCAGTAGAAAGAGTACCATTTAATACATATTCATGTTTTAGAGAATGAATGTACATCTTAATAGCTTAGATAAAAATAAAAGTTTGGCCAACCATAAGTACACTACAACTACAACGATAGTTGGCAGGGTTTTTTGACTACTAAAAACATATTTGTTTATATGAGCAGAATACCTGAAATCTTGTGTGTTTATCAGTATTTACTGTTACTTGAAAGATAAACTTATGTAATTATTTTGGGAAATGTTTATTAAGTATCACCCTGAAAAAAATTATGGCTGTCAATGTGAGAATCATTATGTGTGTAAATATTCAGCTGAGAGAGACCAAAAGTGTAGTGTAATGTTAAATCATTGAAGAAGTAATAATATTCAAGATGAAATTCAACTTATGAATGTAGTAGCAATATTAGTACTTAAAGTTATGTCTTTTATGATACCTATATTCAAAGGTCATAAAATGGTTTATTTAAGAATGTTTCTAATCCCCAGTAGGAATTTACCTACTAATAAATATTTCTATAAAAAAGAAGGAATGTTATGATTTATCTAAGGATAGATCAAGATTTTAGAATTATATATTCTAGCACCTTCATTTAGATTTGATTATGAATGGATGTTTAAGATACTGAAATTCAACTGATGACTTAGTTTTACCCTAAAAAATTTCAAGTATGATTTTTTGCATTTCACTTTCCATAATAAATGCAATATAAAGTAAAAACTTACTGTCTTTTGTTGTTATTGTTATTGCCTTTTTCACTAATATCAAAATTGTTCTTCTAGCTAGCTGATTAGACTCAGTTGATTTTCCATATGACATACTTTTGCTAAGCTTTTGCGGCGGAGCTGAAAAATATTGACAATGAAAGCATGTTTTCCTCTAATTGAGATAGAATTGCCTTGTGGCAGCATGAACCACCTTTTTCAAGCTTATACCATTTCATGTGCAGTATTAGTTGCCTCTTGCCCAGGATCATCCAGGTGTATGCTGTGCAGTTCCAGTCTTTCTACATCTTGCAATCTGGGATTCTAAAAGGAGATAAAAGCCCATCCATGTCATACAATTAATAAAATTAACACTAAAGTCTATCCCTTTTGCTTTGAATTGTACTCAATTCATCAAGAAACTATATAGTGAAAAGGTGAAAGAATTATGAACCCCAAATCTTAAAAATGAATTACTGGGTTTTCCATGAACTTTTAACAGTGATTATTTAAAATGATTGTTGTGTTTACACATTTAGACAGTTCATTCTTGGAAAAATTAAACCTCATACATTTCCAAAGATATAAATACTATTCATGGAGAAATTAAATAGAGCAAATTTTTCGGGGGACTGAGATAGTTTGTCTTCTGCCTGGTAGGGATTTATGTCCCACTTGCAGTCATTTGTCATATTAGGTGCCATTTCCAACCAACTTTTCTCATTCATCTACATCTTTAATGTTGAGCAATGAACACAGAAGCAACCTTCTCGCATAATCTGCGAACTCAGAATACCTCTTGTTTCTTGCAAACTATATAGACCACTCTCAGTCTACTGTACATTCTTAATGAACTCATGAATACCAACAATGTTTACTTTTCTCCACCACCACCTAAAGACTATCACTGAGCTAGTTTGTGGAGTTTTAAAATCTTGAGACCCTTACAACTAATGTTTGCTTTGTAGAAAAGATTTATTTATTTATGCAAGCACTGGGGTACAGTCAGAGGCGTGGGAGGGTGAGAGAATTCACCAGAGACAGAACGGGGAACAGAACAGGTAGACGGACTGAAGACACTGCTGAAGGGAGCAGTGGGCAAAGCAGGCGAGGTCTGCTGCGCCATGTGGGTATCTCTCAGGACGGCCGGGAATCGAACCTGTGCTGCAGAGGCTGCGGACAGCTTCACAGCGCGGCGCTCAACCCGCTGTGCCAATGGGGAGGCCCACAACTAATATTCTTATTGTTCTGCAGTTGTCTCTTCTAAATATATCATAGAAGACTAACATAGTTGAAATTCAAATTGTCGAGATGGAAGCTGAAAGTGCTCAAATTGGTTCTTGGTGGGAGTACTGACACCTAAGGGATGATATATCTATATCTTTTTATATTCCCACTAACACATCTCAATCAAACTGCAAAGGAACCTTGAATTACCATTCATAAATAGAATGATACTCTCAAAGATATAGGTGTTTAGAGGCAAGATAAGACTTCTTAAAGGACTGGAAAGTATTTGCTTAATATCTATGTGTTTTTTTTTCTTTTGCCCAAAGACAATATAATACAAAGAATAATAACTATAAACCAAATATCCTTCCTGGTATTTCTACATTGGGTGATGTTGTGTATAAAAGCACACTGTTTTTCAGTCCATTTTATTTTCCAGTAGCAGATACTTGAGACATATAAATTGGAGAATCAAAGAGATATGGTTGTAAATACCCAGGCTTAGAACCAAAGAAGTCTGGTTTTAAATATCAACTATAAAGCTAAATACCTTGGTCAAGTTGTTCAATCATTTTGAGGCTCAGTGCATTCATCTGTAAGTCAAGACTATTAATACAGACTCTGCAAAATTGTGTGGATTAAGTGACATGAGAAAACAAAGTTTGCTCCACCCCCTATTTCTTTGAGTTTATTTTTTTGCTTGAACTCTACTGCTCTATTGTAAAGAGACTGGCATCTGGCCTTTTTCTTTCCTACTTAAAAAAAAAAACTTTTTATAAATTGAGATTAATACTGAATGTTGTTAAATATGACTATGAGAAATAAAATGTGACTTTTAAAATATTTTCCTTTTTGTTTAAAGCATAAGGATAATATATTCAAGCATTTAGTTGTCAGATCTTTTAGAATTAGAAAAAGATTTTAATTGTTTAGTGTCACATCAAATATAATTTTTAAAATAGAAAGTCAAATTTTAATAAAAATATTACAAATTCAAAAAAGGAGGGGAAAAATGGAAGGCATTGGTAACTTTAACCACACTAAGATTTAAAACAGACATGATAAAAAAGCTCCACATGCAAATTAAGAAGAGTACTCATATAACTGACAAAATACTAGAATCTAGAAAATAAGAATAAGACTTACAAAGCAGTTACAAAAAATGCACAATACAGAGAGATTTGTCAAATTGTATAAGCAAGCATCATAAATGTAGGAGAATATGTTCAATGTCACTAATAAATCTCTATCCCCCACAGTTGATTTCTGCTGGAGGAGACCTTCCAGATTCACAAGGGGCTGAGTTAGGAGCTGTATGTTGATAAAAAGTACCCCACCTGCATTAAGAGACCTGCAACTTGGAGATCCCTGCAGAAGGGTTGATGTGAGTATGTGCTTATAGGAGAGACAGAGACAGGGAAACAGAGACAGGAAGACAGATGACATGCACCTTTATGTGCATACCCATGAGCAGTGAATGGGCACATATAAGGGAGGAGGAAAGGATGCAGTGAGAGGCTTCTCTAAAGAAGCCACAGAAAGCTGCGTGAGCAGTTTAACTGGAAACAACTACAGCTCTCAGGAAGGACTGAAATTTCCAGATTCCCTCTGTCCTCTATCTGTGGTCTTCAACCATGTTTTTGACAGAAATATAATCACTGAGGGATGGAAAGAAAAAAGAATCTAAACCACACCCCCCTCAGCCATATGGGTCTGTAAAGCTGGCAAAAAGAAACTTCAGTTATAAACAGAATAACTGTTATATGAGATTGGGCATTTAAATTAATTAAGACCATATTTGCAATTTTGAATGACCTGTAACTGCTGAATCAAGGGATATCCCCAAAACTGAAAGACAATGTCGCTAATGATAATTTTGCCACCCCAAAAAAAAGTTTTGAGTGGACAGAAAATATTGAAAGATCATGTGACTGAGCCATGCTACTTGCTTGGCCTCTGAAGGCATCTGCATTTGCTACTCCCTCCAATCCCGAGGCCCCCATGTCACCACTGGTTTTGAAGTTGAGACCCTCCATTAGCTTGAATTGAGAGTTCCAGTGATTTCACTGAGATTTCTTCAGACCTCTACTGGTAGGTGGAGATTCTTGACATGTAATATACACAAATACCCATTTATTCAATCATTTCTGCTACAAAGGGAGTTTGTAAATATATTTTAGTTCCCAAATCAGTTGACTTTAAAATAGACATTATTGGTGTCTATTTTAGGCAGACCTAGAAGCTAGAATTTTCTCCACCTGGCCCCAGAAGAAGTCAGAGATGCAGGCTCTTGATGGCCTGAAGAGAACGGGCATCTCTGTCATCAGTTGCAAATGAAGGCGACAAGTCCAGGTACTACAGACACCTCTAGAAGAGGAGTGCAATCTCCAGCTATAGCTACAAGAAAAACAGCTACTCAGTCCTACAAACATAAGGAAATCAATTCTTCCAATGAGGCTGGAAGAGTATTCCTGCCCTCAGATGAGAACCGCAGCCTTGACCAACACCTTGATTTCACCCAGGGCAGAAAATCCTGGCCCACTATGCCCAGACTTGTGATCACAGAAACAGCAAGATACAAAGTTTTACTGATTTAAGTTTCTGGTAACTTGTTACATGGCAATAGAAAACAGCATTCATGGGGCCTCCCTGGTAGCTCAAGGGGTTAAGCACTGCACTGTGAAGCTATTGCAACCACTGCAGTACGAGTTCGATTCCTGGCCGGCCAGGGAGCTACACACATGGCTCAGCAGACCTCTCCCAACTCGCCCACTGCTCCCCTCAGCAGTGTATTTCAGTCAGTCCACCTGTTCTATTCCCTACTTTGTCTCTGGTGAATTCTCTCACCCCTCCCCGCCGTGCCTCTGGCCTATACCCCAGTTCTTGTATGCATAAATAAATAAAAAATGAATATATAAAAAAAGAAAACAGCATTCACTTAGGAACTTGAAAATGCCAAAGTTCAGTTTTATAGTCAAGAATGTGTATCTGAATTATTCAAACCAGAAACTAGAACATGGGTATCCTGACATTTTAATTTCACTGAAACAGCTGATGGTAGTTTTAATGGTAAGTACTTAAGTCACTTTAATACTAAAGCAAACATAAATTTATATAGCAGTGCTGGACAGCTTTTTTTTTTTCTCTTCTCTATCTAGTGTAGGAATAGAAAAGAAATTCCCCCTTCCCATAAAGGTTCGCCTCAAGCTGATCCAGAAATCAAAACATCAGCCAGGTTAGTAAGAGAAAAGAACAAATACGTTTGGAGAATTCACATGAATGTAAACTTTGAAGCTAATGGGGCAAATAAGAGTACGTATCCTGAGGTAAGGAATGGGGTAGGAGTCAGGAGCTTCAAGAGAGGAGAGGGTGACTCATAGGGTGAAGATCTTATGTTCCTTTATTAGATATTTGCCCTGATATATAGAAAGGTTTCACCAGTAAAAAGGTTATTTCTAATAAAAATGCTAGTTCTGAGTAATGCCCCCCATTTTTATTGTTAGATAGTTAAAGGAGTAGTAAAGTTATTTGTGAGTCTGCAGGATTTCAATTGACCTCAACTTGAAATAATCCACATGCCAAAACATCACATTGTGGGAATGCCTGTTCTGGACATCTTGGGGAGACCTTTCCTTCACCATTCATCACCCCACTTACCCCACTCTGGGCACTGGAGGCTGACTTCACAGACAGGGTTTGCCTTGCAGGTTCCCTTAATCCTGTTATGCA